AAAACTCAATCTAAAAGGACATGGCCTTGCCCACTGACCATTTATTGCCTGAACGATAATGTTTCTTAGTCTTTTTTGGGTCTTGAATCTCTTTGAGAATCTTTTGAAATGTATGGACCCTTTCCTCAAGAACACACACGTGCAGGTAACACAATTTTGCATTCAGTCTTATGAACCGCAGATGTCTGTATTAGTTATATACTGGTACAAAACTAATTATCCCAAAACTTAAAGTCTTAAAACAACACTAAACATACGGTTTCTGTGGTTCAGGGGGGATTCAGGAGCATCTTCACTGGATAGTTCTGGCTCAGGATCTCCCAGGAGGCTGCAGTCACGATGTTATCTGGGGCTGTTGTTACCTGAAGGCTTGATTGGGGCTGGAGGATCCACTTCCAAGGTGACCCGGTCACATGCTGGCAGGTTAGTGCTGGCTGTTGGCAGGAGGCCTTATGTAGACCCCCCCACCCCCAAGATCTGCTTCAGTGTGCTCACAACGTGGTGTTTGTCTTTTATGACCTAGCCTTGGAAGTCACACTCCATCATTTCTGCATTTTCTATTGTCCACACAGTCAGCTGTGTTCAGTGCACAAGGCATGGAATGAGGAGGGGTGGTGCAGAGCTTCCACGCCCTCTCCTGGTGCAGCACCCTCCCAGCACGTCACTCTGTGCTCCAACGCGGAACCGCTCCTAACTTGCCATTTAGGGTTTCATTACATGGGTGTGATTGACTAAATCACTGGCCATTGGTGACTGGGTCAATCGCCAGCCCGCCTTTTGTCCCCAGAGGTCTGGTGGTGGGGCTGAAAGTTCCAACCGTCTAAGCATGGACAGTCCCTTCCTTGAAACTACCTAAGAGTCCTCCTCGAGTCACCTCATTAGCATGAACTCAGGTATGAGCCAGAGGGGCTCCTTATGAATAATAAAAGACACTGCAGTCACTTAGGGAATTCAGAGGGGTTTACCTCAGTGCCAGGAACTGGGGTCAAAGACCAAATATATATATATTTTTAGTATACTATAGTAGTGAATACAGAAGAAATTTTATATAGCAATCATACATTGTTTTTATTTT